AGCAAAACAATGAGACTAAAGTACTTAACTGGATGGTGGCAACTCCTAGAATGCATAACATAAAATAATACAGCATGGTGATTACAAAATTGATATATCTTTAAAGATAAAACATTTGTAGCTGGTATCAAAGCATGCAATAGTTTCCTACTCAGAAAGAAAGCAGGAGTAACAATATGTAAGGGAAGTTGCAGATTTTTATGAAATTTTGATGAGTGAGACATTCAGCATTTGTCAAAAAGACAAATCCCAACCTGGACGATAAGCAGGTAGTCTCACATTCCAGGTCAACACACCAATGCAGCACATAATCAGTCAGATGTACCTGTGTCTAATTTGGCAAACAAAGAATGAGAAAATGATACATTTTACAATTATTTTTACAATTTAACCACCACTGCATTCTACAGTATTGGAAACTAAATCAGGCTCTGCAGTGATATCATGCTTTTCATTAACAAAGCAATCATTACATTTAGCTTTTGCCTGTTTCTCTTTCAATAGTTTTCGAAGTTTCTTAGCAGATATTTTTTCTTTTACCTTAGGCATTGGTTATATAGCTACAATACTAAGCAATATATATACCGAGAAAATTAACCAGGTTTTAAAGGCTTATTTTTAGTAAATAATAATTACTACAGTAATTAATATTATAAGTAGTATCAAAGCTTATCTCTGAGTCTTCTAAATGAACAAGGACTTTGATAGAGACAGGTAGATAAGCAGATAACAGCTCTTTAGGGTAGGACACTTTTTTGTCACTACAGTGCATGAGGAGTACCACACAAACCACGCCCATATAGCCACACCCAAACAAATAATCATCCATTTCACAGAATAACTGATTTACAATAATATAAAACAGAAAATAAAATATTTTAGTGAGATCGCTAATGATTGCCCAAATTCTTGAACAATGAATTCAAACTGCAAACACTGATTTCCATGGTACTGGGTATGTAGGAAGTGCTCTTCTACATTACTGAAAAATTAGCTCTATAAAACAAGACAATATTAATTATTATGCAATCAATAACTACTGTAATATAAGCCTACTTGTTCCAGTCTGGTCCACTTCAGTCAGTGTATCTATGTTATCACATTTGTAGCTATTTTACATATTCAATGAATTAGAGCAACTGATCTGAGCATGCGTAACCACACCAACTTTTGGAGCCCATGCTTCAATTAACAAAATGGCTGCATGAGGTATGTTAGTACAATCCAAAAGTATTAGTATTATCTTTTCCTTTCTTGGAGAATGATTCTTGGAGACAAGGACCTGCGCCTACCCAGTTGGAGTAGAATGGTGTATGAATTAGCTTTCTATTATGAGCCAAGATCAAGGTAAAGACCAACAATTGGATTAATAGGACAAACATGATGATGATGATGAAAAAAGGTGGATGAATAAAATGGAAGGTTTGCTGATTATAACTTTTCACTTAGACAAGGTCTAGAGCCATGTTAGTTGTACCATTAGAGTCCTCTGGTCAAGATAAGGTCCTCTAACAAGTCTGGTAAGCGTAGGAGCTCGTTTTTCCGGTATAGCAATCCTGCCAAAAGTCGTTGTAGCCATTTTGTTTGGGGATGAATCCTACTCAGTAATGCTACCGCGTTACTAATAGGGGGAAATCATCATGCCTAGTAATGCAATAGCACAAATTTAAAAATTGGGACCATTAGCTGTCATTATTCTCAGCATGCTACTGCAAGAAAAGAACTCAAAATGGCAAGCAAGAAAATTTTCCTACTTGTGGTTATATGACATTTTCTTGCACTTGCATGCTTAATATAATGAAAGCTAATGATCCCAATCTTTAAATTTGTGCTATTACATTACTAGGCATGAGAATAAAGGATTATTTCGACCAAAAAGAAATTGATGTTGCTGCATCCATGCCTCTAGTGACGTCACATTTAGCCACACCCACTAACAGGAAGTAACAAAAATGAGCATTTTTGAAGGCTCATACCTCAATGAAAAATTTTTTTAGGCAATGGGAGTTGAATACATCAATATTATTGTCAGGCAATCATATTAAGCCAATAAAAAAATTGACCAAAAATACACCAGACTGACCCTTTCATCTCCTCCACTGTCTTCAGTGCATGTCGGATCAATTGTCACAATGTCTCCGATTCAGCTGATGGTTTTGGTGGTGACCATGAGAGTGGGTACAGATGGGACGGAAGGAAAAAGGTACATCTCTTTTTGCCTCCTCCCTAATCCTCTGCCCTTTAAGGTTTGTGTGGGTGTGTAAAACCTATGTGGATGTCTCATGCCATCCCACAAATTATCGAGGACCTATTGAAGTCCTTTGGTAGTAATGTTGTCCTCACCCACTCAATGAAGGAGATTTAGTCGCACATCAAGACATCAAGAATGCAATACCCCGGCCAATACCAAGGTAGAATATACTAATAACATACTAATAGTATATTGTAGTTTACTGCATACATGTATTTGATGAACAGTTCCAGCTACTAATATATTATGCTCATTGTATACTGTGTCTCTGTTATTATTGATTGTACAGCTACATTGTACATTGATGGGTCCCAGAGGAGACCTGAAGCCACTTACTCTGAAGAGACCAGTGGTCTTTGTCAACTGGTAAAAGGCTGACTCAAGTAGGGGATGGGAAAGCAAAGACATTAGAGAAGCAGTAGAGGCAGCTCATAAAGAAGCACCTGGGTATGGACATGTATCAAAGTATTAGGGTATGAGCATTTCAAGATTTATAGATTCGGCAGTTTTGTAAGATATAGTTTAAGGATGCAACATTTGTTTGGGGCGAGCCCTACATAAACGAGTTGAGTATGCTTCTTTGTACATGTACGTCACCCCTATTCATGCGTTTATACAAAATAACAATCACATTTTTAACTGCTAATTATGATAATAGAGTACCACAATGAGCAACTTAATCACTAGATTATTTAAGAAACAAAAGAAACTGAATCTTATAACATAAGTATTTCATAAGAAGATGCTCATTAAGCTTGTGAACTTTTTCATAACAAGCGTGATTGGGAGAGAAAAAAGAGCGAGACTGAGGAGACAAGAGCGTGGTGGTCCAATAGAAATGCTAGAAATAGGTCTAGTTGCGTCCAAAGACAACAAATGGAGTCTCTTTTAGAGACCAACTATCTTCCATGCTAGATCTGTGTAACTGCAGAGATTCTTAACTCATAAAGGCAGAACAAGCTATAATGTCCCTTCCATGCAAATTCTGCATTAGTCTATTGACATTAATATTGAACATTTATTCAAAATGTCAAATGTTTTGCTCGCCCCTTAATGTTTTACATTAGCCTAGTAACATTCAATATTCATTTATTGTTGTTATTATTATTATTATTATTTTTTACAAAGAAAATAAAATGGGGCAACAATTTTATGGTTAAAAAGAGCAACATATGGATTTAGTGCCAAATTATAGGTTAAGTTACGAATAGAAAGATAATTGGGGTGAATGATGATGTCATTTTCCAAATGCAGTGACCTCATCGTGCACCTCGTACCTCTTTTACATCAATTTGTAGCTCTCAACAATGACATACAAAGTTTAAACCAAAGCAAATGGATTACTGTGCGTACGGCCTAAACCTTTAATATTCTCCCATTCTATTTTTAAATGTCTCAGCCATCACTCTCAAGAGCCAGTCTACAAAAAAACAAAGTGGAGTGAAACTGAAATGTATATCACTGCAAGAATCAAAATACTTTCTCTTCAGTTTCCTTTGAGCAGCAGCCGAAGCAGACTGAAGACACATGAGGAAGTAGGACTTTCATCAAATGTCAATGACATGCATGTCAAACAACCCAGTTGCCTGCCTCTACCATACACCTCTGATAGATATGTCAGCAACTAAGGCTCTGTTAGAATCGGAAGAGTCACATACCACCGGCTCCTTTATCACTTGATTGTAAACAATGGAAGCAAGACTGCA